TGACCTGAGAATTTAAATAACTGAAACCTAAAAGTTAATCATCATGTGCAACTCACATTATTTATGTTATTGATCTTTATTTTCATTTTAGGCTTATTTATGTTATTGATCTTTATTTTCATTTTAGGCTTTGTGTGTGTGTGTGTGTGTGTGTGTGTGTATGTGTTTAAAAAGCAACTTAATAGAGTTATATTGGTCCTTTGAAAGCTATTAAGTTCTGTTTACATAAGGTATGGCCACTTACAATACCAAATAAAAAGTATTAAATTTCTCTCTACAGATTATTTTTTCCATCAAAAAGAGACCAGTGTCAAGTCAGGCATAGTGTTTCATGCCTGTAATCCCAGCACTCATAAGGCTGAGGCAGGAGGATGGCATTCTGAGATCAGCCTGAGCTACACAGCTGGGTCCCATTCTGGGAGCACCTCTTACGCAACGGTCAGCAGAGAGAACAGTCCTCCCCACTGCTTTTTCACTCCCTGCTCTGACCTGGATCTTCACACAAGGTCGTGGTGCAGTGAGACAGAAAGAACACCATGCCTGACTCAGCTCTGCTCACTCTAGGTGTGCCACCTTAGCATATCAGGTGACTTTTCAGGGCCTCCCTCCGTTTTCTCATCTGGTAAATGATGCTGCATCAGACAACACTATAGGGCCCTCTTGAGGAGAAGTCAGACCACCTGGAGTCAGATCTCAGCTCTGGTACTGAGGCAGGAAGTCCATCTCAGCTCTGTCTCTCCGACTCGCTAACAGCACCAGGAAGAGAATGGCAACAGTACTTGTGAGGATCTCAGGCGTCCACGCATTTAAAGCACTTGGACTGAGCTGGCACAGAGGACTCCGAATGTTAGTAGGATTTCTTTTAGAGCTGTTGCTACTGTTACGGTCTCCACGTGTGGATCCTATCACACAAGGAAGAGCAAGGATCCCAGCAGAGATTGTATGCTGCTTGTGATCATCTGCAGAAGGCTCTACACCAAGGAGTCTGTCTTAACCAGCAGTTCAACAGGGCTGCTGCTATAAACAAGGACATGTATTGTCTGTCAACATAACGCTGAGCCCATATTGCTCACTGTCAGGTTTCCACAGAATGGTATTACATTAAAGAAATATATTTGATTTTTTTTTAAATGTGTATGAGTGATTTGCCTGTATGTACATATGTACACCAAGTGCATGCCTGGTGCCAGGTAGGCCAAATTAGGGCATCAGATTCCCTGAAATGGAGTTACAGGTAGCTGTGAGCTGCCATGTAAATGCTAGCAAATGAATTGGTCCTCTGCAAAAGCAGTCCATGCTCTCAACCATTGAGCCAGCTCTCCAGCCCCTGAGATATATTGCTTTCTGTGAAGAACCACTTTATTTTTTAAAATTATATGTATGGTGTTTGTGTGTGTGGAGGGATGCACATGAGTACGGGCACCCAGGGAGGTTAAAAGAGTGTGTCAGAGTCCCCGGAGCTAGTCTCATGCAGTTGTGAGGCACCCAGGATGGGTTCTGGGAACCTAACTTTGGTGCTCTTCAAAAACAGCAGGCACTCTCAACCCCTGAGCCATCTCTAGACCCCAGAAGAAGCACTCCAAGTCATTACACAAAGCATGATCACTATACACAATGATGCTCTCGTAAATGACAAAGGGAACAGAGCCAAAGCTGCTCTTCATCCTTACCTTCAACTCTTTAATCCCAGTAAAAATGCTGATAGATGAGCTGTCAGTCCCTCCGCTCTGCTTGCACTCAGTCACGATCTCGATGACCTTATCCAGGGCCACTCTCATCCGGTCAAACACTCCTTCTTTGTTTTTATGGGCTGAGTCACAGCTGGGATGCCTGAGACAAGTCTTCCCAACAGTTGAGGTTTTTATTTTAATAATAACTCGTATCGTAACACATTAAAATCTTACAGAGAACATGCCATGCTAATAAAAATGGTTCTTTACCCAAATCTCCTGGCTCCCCGGCTCCCCCAGCTGCCTCTCCTCACTAGTGTGGAAGCAGGATGAGTAAAAAGCGACAGCAAGGTTAAGTGAACGACCAGAGAGAAAAGCTGCATCTTCAAACATCAACAGTACATTCGTCTTGACTTCAATGATGGAAAAACCCGGCATCGTTATCATGATTAAAAGTGTCTGTTAAGAGCTGCCTCACACATGCAAGAACAAGAAAGGAATGGGGAAAACTGAACAAGGTGATAGGTGACTGTGGCTGCATCGTTCCCTTTTAAAACGTGATGTAAATAAAGATCTACTCCAGGTTCTAGATTGAACAGAACATCTGCCTCTGTTTTTGTGCTTTTGCTGATCCCAGGGCATCAGTAAATACTCCAGAGGAAAAGGCAGTTCTCTACAAACTCCTATGGAGACATTTACCAGCTCATCCCTGAACTGTACCACCTGGGGCTTGGGAACACACACACTCCTGTGCCATCATTTTATAAAAGTGGAAATAGAAAGGAGAGGCTGTAAATTCATGGAAGAAACCAAGGAGGCTTCTTTCCACATACTCCTCTAGTTGTGCTTAACCAATCCTGACTTGCTCAGCTTTTACTAGATCGTGTGGCCTGGCAAATTCTGCAGTGCATTACGGAGCCTGGCAGCCTCTGTTCACAGTACTCGATCCCCTCTCTTCTGCTTAACTGCTGAGTCAAAGCGGGCTGAGATTCAGGAGCTGGGGAAGGAAGGTTAGCATTCACCATACTAAAAACAGATTTGACTTGGTTCTAAGGTACTGTTTTCATCACTTCAAAAATGCCAAGTAGGGAGGGCTGGGGGAGGCTGAGTGGTGGAGTACATGCTCAGCAGGCACCAGGCACTCTTATGCAGTCCTTTGCATAAGAAAAGAATAAATGAAATAAAACGTGAAGCTCGCACAGTTGATGCATTTGCTCAGGTTGTTCTCATCGTTGACTCAGATGAGTAACACAGGCGCTTACCTTTGAAGCTGTGAGGAGCATCATTGTGCCCTTTTCAAGCACGGCCCTCGCCACTGCCATTCTGGCCTTTTTCTTTTCATCTTTCAAATCCTAAAGATGAAATCAAATCACTGGGTAGTCTAAGACATATCAGCAACCTGATCTTTTGAAAAACCATTCACTCTACAACAATGTCCAAAAGGCCAGTCACACTGCTCAGTACAGAAAAGAGAGGAGCCAGAGCAGTTGGTTTCTCTCTCTGAGGTCATGTACTGCAGTCCACATGTCTGTGTTACCATCTGCCTCCTCCCACACCCTCTGAAACAGAAGTTCCATAGGGCAGGAACTTTGGCTTCCTTACTGTTAGGTCCCCAATACCTAGAGTACTCCAATTTCCAGTAAGTTATGAGAATCTGCTGAGTCTGAAGAGGCTAGCTGATGGCTATTTTCAGCACATTCTGACCAAATTAAGAAAAAAAGGGCTCTAACTCTGGAAACAAATAGTAAGAAAGTGAGCCAGGCACAGCCCTTACCTTTCCCCAGTGGGGAAAATACCTACTACTCTCTATCTGATGAGTCAAATTTAACAGGTATTCCTGCCAGGTGAGGTGGCGCACGCCTTAAATCCCAGCACTGGGGAAGCAGAGGCAGGAGGATCTCCATGAATTTGAAGATAGCCTGGTCTATACAGTGAGTTCCAGGCCACCTAGGGCTATCCTTCAGCCAAATGCACAAGTTTAAAAGAGTTGATCACAGTCTTATTGGACCTGGGAGAAATATTCTCTACCAATATTCTACAGACCAATTTTACTTTCTTTTTTGATTTCTGAGGCAGGGTCTTGCCATGCAGCACAGGCTATCCTGGAAGTTACCAGGCAGGCCTAGGTTGGCCTCAAAGTAATGGAGACCCTGTTGCCTTAGAATCCCAAGTGCTGGGATTACAGGAGCAAGCACCATCCTGGCTCCAGACCGAATTCCTAACTACAAATCAGAATAACAGTGGAGGTTCCCCACTGTGCGGCCACCGGGAAACACAGACAAAAGAGCTACACAGGCTTTGGAATGGGAGTCACACTACACTGGCCCAAGTGATCGAAAAATGTTAGATGATGAACTGTCATAAAAATACTTAGGCTAATAATCTTTATAGGGGAAGAGTATGGGGAGGGCAGAGGGAAAGGTTGATGAGAGAAAAAGAGAAAGAAAAGAAACCAAAGTATGAAAGAACAATGCTGGCAGAAGAGAAAATGAGACAAGGCGTTACTCAGGTGGCTTTTCAAAATTTGTATTTCATTTATTTGTTGATTCTGTGTTTAAGTGCACATATGTGGGTATGTCTGTGTGGCTGTGCATCTGTGTGTGCTCACATGCATGCATGGGCATGCGCATGTCATAGCATTCCTGTGGAGGTCAGAGGACAACTTACAGGAGTTGTAATCTCCTTCCACCATGTGGATCCTGGGGACTGAACTCAGGCCAGTGCCTTTACCCACCCAGCCAGCTTGCCAGCCACCTAAACATTCAGTTTTATTCAGAGACAAATACTGCTCCCCAGCCTGCCATTTTCCAGGCCAATGTCCATCTCCCAACTGTAGCTGCAACATGGAAAAGCTCATGTCCAAAACTGAAGGAGTGGCCTGAGCAAGGATGTCCAGATCTCAGTACCACAGGTCAGGCCTGATGACACGATGGATTCATGAGCAAACATCCCAACCAGAGAGAGTCTATTCTGACATGCTGTGGTCTTCTACCTCCTCAAACTTAGAAATATTGGTCTGAATTGGGGAGCAGGTCTCAAAGAAAAGACCCTGAGCTGCAGTGGAAGAATGACAGGCTTTAGGAATAGAGGTAACCAAATTCCATCCACTAGCAGAGGGACCACCCATCTCCGGTTTGGTTCCCTGATGTACAAAACACTAATATCAATACTCAGTTTGTAGGGTTGCTTTGAATATTAAATGCAATCATGTATATTAAATACCTAACATAGTATAGCCAGTGCAAATAGAACAATAGCATGTGTTCTTAATATTAATCTAGTATAGTAAGTAAACAAATATATAGAAAATATTCTAAAATTACACATACTAGTTCAACTTGTCTGCCTGAGCCCTGGTAGAAGAGCCAAATGGAACACCTCATGAAAGGGAAAGTTGGCCTTCCACACAGCCAGACTGTTCCTAGTATAGGCATTATTAATTGCCATAAATGTACAAAAAGACACATTAATCTACTACATACCCTGGATTACTTATAAAGGTTTTTAAGACCAATATCATATATTTAGTGAATAAAGAAGTCAACTCAAGTGATTAAAAAGATCTTATTTCCACCCAAAGTAAAAGGTACGCATTTATCTGAAGAATTTTCAGTGTGGTAAGGACATACATTTTGTCTGTCTCCCGTCAGATGCGCAAACTCCACCATTTCATTTCCAAACTGACTGAATATCTGGACAAACTCCTGAAAGCTGTTTACTTTCTCTAGTCTCTCCATGGTTGCAAGAACCTGCAAAACAGAAAATACAGTATTGTTGGGCAATGAACAAGACACAGACTGAGACTTCCAGAGCTGAGCAGAGTGAAGGGAAAGAAGAAAAGCTCTAAATTCTATGGGAAAGCTGAGAAAAAAGAAAACACACACACACACACACACACACACACACACACACACCTCTAAGACATAAAAGCTGGTTCAACAGTTAGAACCACTTAGGGAATTTGACTTGGTTTTAGGATAAGGAGATGTGAGTTTACTTATAAATTCAAAAGAAGAAAAAAATTCTTGACTATATAGTGCTTAGGGAGTTAAAAACATCTGCAAGAAAAAGACGGGTGAAAAGCAAAGGGCAGCCTCAGCACAGAACCAGCTGAACCTCTGGGCTTAGGGGCTGCGCGGGGCAAGGGATTCTGAAAAGGAAAAGCACACTGTCCTGGGTGAGCCTGCATTTCTAGGGGTCTTCCTAGGCAGGCCCCTGACCTTCCCTACTGGATTAACCCTTAAAGAGGAGACAAGGGCGTGTCTCTACCTAGAGGTAGATTCTGTTCTTTGCAGGGTCTCTCAATGTGACTTAGGCTAATCTGAGACTCACTATGTAGTCCCATAGTCTGGTCCTGAACTCATGGTGATCCTCCTGCCTCAGCCTCTCAAGAGCTGAGATTATAGGCATGAGAGCCACCCCCAGCTCAATCTTATCTTTTAATAATAGTAACTC